GTGTCATATTTTGTGTCCTAGAATCGTCTTGGAACCACAACGCCTCGAAGAAAACCTCTGGAAAGAGACTTTGAGACTATAAAGCTCATCAGCAATGGGGCTTATGGGTGAGCTTACATTTATTGCTTTATTCTTTAAAGAAGGAATGGACTGTTTTAGAATCGCATGAATTTAGGTCACCAGTTGACGAAAGGCTGGAATACACTATATAACGTTTGTCTAGAGTTTCCCCTCAGTTTGCATTCTGGAGAGGTCGACTCTAGTAGTGGAAAGTCAGATCAAGTCTCCAGGTTTTGGGCAGTCAGAGATGACAGATTTCACAGAAAATGACATAGGTTTTGATGGGCAAAGACACTCAGTTTTTAACTTTAGACTAGGATCCCATCCCGTCAGAAGATATTAAACATGGTTGATATTTTGAGCCGATTTTAGTACACACACATACTGTTTTCATTAGTCTTGTGTCTTCTCATAACGAGGCACATGTTTCTGTGTTGGTTTGTTGTGTTTGTAATGGGTCATATTGTGTGTAATCCTCAGTCATTTAGTATATGATGCCCAGATTCTTTCTCTAACCATTTACAGTCAACAAGTGTCGGATTTTAAAACGGTTGAGATTTGAAAAGTTTTGTAGTGTATTCCAGCCTTAAAAATATCAATCAGCTTTGATCCTGATTTGAGTGTTGACTTGCAGTGCCGTGTACCTGGTAAGGCATCGCGGGACACGGCAGAGGTTTGCCATGAAGAAGATCAACCGGCAGAACTTGATCCTGAGGAACCAGATCCAGCAGGTGTTTGTGGAGCGAGACATCCTGACGTTTGCAGAGAACCCTTTTGTGGTCAGCATGTTCTGCTCCTTTGAGACACGACGGCACCTCTGCATGGTCATGGAGTATGTGGAGGGTGAGTCAGAAGAATGATGTGTTGTTGCAAATATGTTTCGTGATCTAATCTTATGACACACACATGCGTCATTCCTCGTGTATACAGTCGTGAGTCTGCAGCTGTAATGTTTTAATATGAAATTGTCTTTGCAGGTGGAGACTGTGCAAATTTGCTGAAGAATATGGGTCCCTTGCCGGTGGACATGGCCAGAATGTACTTTGCAGAGACTGTTCTGGCACTAGAGTATCTTCATAATTATGGCATCGTGCACAGGGATCTCAAACCTGACAAGTAAGAGCTGCTCGATGTAATCCTGCAGTTATGCATGACTCCACATCCTGCATATATTGCATTCACTGGGTTTGTTTCCTGTCTTCAGCTTGCTCATTACGTCAATGGGGCACATTAAACTGACTGACTTCGGTCTGTCTAAAATCGGTTTAATGAACATGACCACAAACCTGTATGAAGAACACATGGAGAAAGACACAAGAGAGTTCATTGATAAACAGGTCAGTCTACCTGTACATTCAGCACAAATACTGTACTAGTTTAACGTGTTCACATTCAAAGGACTAGTTTTGTCTTAATTTATTCACAATATATTTTTTTATTTTCTTCCATAAAACAAAAAAGGCAATGTTAGGCAACATGTCCGAGCAGCATTCGTTTTTATTTTACTTTGCTTTACTTTAAGGTAAAAAAATGTTATTTAAAATGAGATGAGATTTGAGAAGTAATGGAAATGGAAGACTTTGAGCAAAAAAATTATGGCAAAGGTCCTGAAAGGACAAAATGGCATCATTTTCTTAGATTTCTTCCTTTAGATTTCTTTCTTAAATTTCCTTAATAACTTTCATTATTGTCATTATTCATTAATATTGTAACATGCAATATTGTAATATTGAACAAATAATGAGTTAAATTAGTTATGTTTCTAGTCGGGCTATACTATGGCTTCAGAAAAGTTCAAACTTGTATTTTTTATTTTATTTTTTTACTGATATGGTACCATTAAAAATGACCACTTTTTTGTATGGTAAATGGTTGTTCTGACATTTTGTGTTTCACCAAAGGAAGAAAATACAGGGGTGGAAGAATTTGAGGGCTAGTAAATCGTGACAACATTTTTCATTTTGGGTGAACTTTTTCTCTGTTGTTTTGTAGGTCTGTGGCACTCCAGAGTACATTGCACCAGAGGTGATCCTGAGGCAAGGTTATGGAAAACCTGTGGATTGGTGGGCCATGGGCATTATCCTGTATGAGTTCCTGGTGGGCTGTGTGCCTTTCTTTGGAGACACACCAGAAGAGCTCTTTGGCCAGGTGGTCAGTGGTAAGAATCAAGGGATTTTAACCCCTAACCCTGAGAATTCAATCATGATTGAAATTATTTCTGCCTACTGGATGATAAAACAAGTGTAAAAGGTTCTGATTGCCCTACATTGCAGATCGAATCTGAGCTTTATCTAAGCATCAGAATATCATAGATTTGGAAGTGGTCTCTTTTGATACGGGCCCGTATTTTGAAATGCTTTCACTGCTCAACAACAATGTAAAATTCTGCTTTATACTAATGTTGTCTGCATCCCTCTCACTTCATAGATGAAATTGAGTGGCCAGAGGGTGATGATGCATTGCCTCTTGAGTCTCAAGACCTCATCACAAAACTGCTTAGACAGAGTTCCAAAGAGCGCTTGGGAGCTGGTGGGTGTTTTGCCAGTTTAGTCCTAATGAATGCCCATTTATCAGTTTTATTTTAATATTATGTATGTGATATTATAGTAATTATTAATATTTTGAATTAACTTTTAATTTAATATTTTGCATGGTTTCCATTTGAATGTTTGTGTTTCAGTAATTTTTATAGATTCTTTTATATTTAGGCTCAATTTTGTTTCTTAAATTTCAGTTTTAGTAATTGTTGTACTTAAAAAGCTTAAATGAAAACTAGAAATGTTGCCATTGCAACTAAATTAGTTTCATAACAGTTTTTAGTTAACAATAACAACACTGCTATTTAGAAACTTGATAAAGTCCCCATAATGTCATGTGTGGTATGACCTACAGGAGGGGCAGCAGAGGTCAAACATCACATCTTCTTCCATGGTCTGGACTGGAGTGGACTGTTACGACAGAAAGCAGAGTTCATTCCACAGCTTGAAACTGAAGAAGACACAAGCTACTTTGACAGTAGGTGGCTCCCTTGCTCTTTTATGACTTTTTCTGAATCATAAATATAATGTAGATGCAACTGAACCTTCTTTGCATCTGCCGCCCAGCACGTTCTGATCGTTACCATCACTCTGAGGAGGATGATGAGACCAACGACGATGAATCTTATCAGGAGATCAAGTTCTCTTCCTGCTCGCATCGCTTCAGCAAGGTGAAATAGCTGAATGTGCACAATGTTATCTTCTAGTAATGCCTGTCAGTCAGGCAGACTGAGGCATTTAACACAGTAAAGGAGCAGGTCATGACTTGTTTTTGTCATGTGAATCAGGTGTACAGTAGCACCGAGCAGTTGGCTTCTCCCTCCAACTTGAGCCTGTCCTCTGAGCGGAGCTGCAGTGAGGAGAAGGAGGACCGGTGGGACTGTCATTCAATGCTCTCTCCAGTAGAAACCCCTAGACAGCTTCCAAGTAGCGACAGGAAGCAGGATTCCCACTGGGGCAGGTGAGCACTAGGCTATGTACAGAAGAGCATACTATCCCACTACATAATATTTCTGGAGTATATACCTGGATAAGCTTGCAAGGAATGCTGTAATGATAAAGGCTGGAATACACTACATGACTTTTAAAATCTGAATAGATTTTAAAACGCTAGACAACATACACTTAAGCCGCTTTACCACCGAAATTACCTGGAACAATTTGTCCCAGGAACTTTTTTCTCCACAGACCTGTTGCTGTCTGCATTTCAATCATGGTCTAAAGTACTGTGAAGATTAGGCTAAATAGTCTGGTTCGTTTCTCAATGCCAAGTACGCAAATGTCGGACTTGCGTTCCTCGGTAGTTTGGACTTCGCAAGTTCGACTCGGGATTGTGAACTCCCGGGGATGGGAGAACGCAAGTTCGGTAATTCTGCAAATGGAACAGCAGTGTATTTGAAAACGTCAGTCAGCTCGACTTGGCTACTGCAGTTTTCCTCATTGTATTTAGACGAATATGTTATTAAACACCACTGCCTCTTTTCGTTTTGATAATTAATAGCCGTATTAATAAAACATATTAATAGCCGCAGAAATGTAGTTCAGGGAACGTACATA